TCAGACAGGAATGGTTCCACATCTTCAACTACTATGTCGTCGTCGTGGACTTGATTTTGGTAAGATTTCCTATTTGCTTTCAATATATGCAATTGGGTTTGAATCTGTAACAGTGGTATTTTCAACCGACGATAATTAATTACAGGCTCATATAACAACTGTTCATATTGGTTGAGATCTCTTGTTAGTTGGCGTTTGCTTGATATTAAAGCACGCTTTGCTTTCTGTGGATTAGTCATGGTGACTTGTTAATTGGGCACCACTGGCTCATAAATTGTGAGCAAGTACTAATGGTAGCCTAGGGTAAAATGCACTCACTAGGCAATAATCCTACCTCTACTAGAGGTTAGCACTTAAAATTAATACACATTATATATATACAATCATACACACTAATGATTTGAGTGATAAACCAGTGTCACTGGAAGTACCTTTAGGTTAGCTCTTCTATATCACCCTAGGATGGTAGAGACACTAATTAATCACTCAAAGGTGTAATGATCATAAGTAAATTATATATATACAACTCAACTCGAGTTGATAAAAATTACACCCAAAATAGGGTCTGGACCATTCATTAATGGTGCTAGGTTGATCAATATAGTTCAACTGACTATGGTAATAATGGGACTAGGATGAGCAATAATAGTTCAACTAGTCATATCCTACCCTGTTGTGGGTTGGCAATTAGTAAATATTATACTGTGATCACTAGTGCAGTATATATTAAATGATTCTCTATTTGGAGAAATAATATACACAATTATTGATAATAGCCTCTTAATTAGCCTCTATGAAACTTCTAATATTATCTAGAAGTATTAAATATTATTAGTGACCTCGCGAAATAAAGTCCACAAAATTCGTAGATAATCTCTCGCGAAATGTAACACCACGAAATCCGTGAACAATCTCGCGAAGACACAGTCACTAATTTGGCTGGATTCTATATTAGCGCTGTCATTTCACGAAATAACACGCCACCAAATATCTGTGGGTGTGCATGAAACCGCTGACGAAGCTGAACTGGGCTGAGGGAGGCTCCTGAGCTCCCTCGAGGCTACGCTGCCGTCTTGACTGGCTTTGTTTAAATAACACTGCACTAGTATATTTAATGAATCCACTGGTTTGGTTAACTGGTTCATCCGGTACTAAGATGACCAAATGTGGGTTCAAAGGATCAAATAATCCGTCATCCGGTTCGAAGATGACCAAATAATGTGGGAACCGACCTGTGAGATTTATATTTGTTTAATTTATATGAATTTATATTTACGTTAATTTATATACTTCGATAGCAATTTGTATAATGATAAGTGGACTGTATTTCTGCAATAATCTCTTAATCTCACAAATCGATCCTCTACACATTAGGGGGGGTTTATATTACACATATGCAGCCAATCAAATTACAGTAATAGCTACATACATTGATGAGGTTCCTTCTCTTATAGTACAGCAGGTTAGTCCACCAGGTATAACTAGAGTGTAGACACCAAATTATCCTCTTTGAGGTAGCTTCTATCACCCAGTAACTGGTGCACATAATCTTGCATCCTCGTCTTGACCTGTCAAAGTGCGCTAGCTGTGAAGCCAGAATCCTATATATGACAAGCTATATCAGAGAAAACACTATACAGTACATGGAACATTAAAGACCTGGCTTAATTACCTTTAGTATGAGGCGATTTCGCGTTCTAACCGGCTAACCCTATATCCTGACATTAATGGCCATAAATGAATGATAAACGGGTTTCGGATAGACACTTAACTTGTATTTGTAGACAGCGTGTTGACAATGGTACACCTTTGGGTTCCATAACACTACGTCCAAGTAAATTTAACAGGAGCCGAATTTGCTCCCGTGTGAGCCTCTGGTCTCATATAACAACAATGGCTGCCCTCCTTCCCCACTCTGACGCCTGGCCTACTTTGTCCAGATTTCAGAAAGTGATAGAAGGGTCACATTTACTCTACTTTAATATTGATAATTAAGTTAATTTATATAAGATGTTTTATGATGGTAAAGTCCAAAGACTAATGTATTTAAGAATAATTCCCAGCAGAATAGCTGGTGAATTATAATAGTATGTGGTGATGATATCCCGTTTTCTTTAGACGGTAATTCCACTACAAGTAACGTTTTCTATGGTTAACTTGTTTATACAACACAGCTCTTATCTGTCTGTATATTAAATGCTGTCGGATTTTCCGACACTGTTCCTTATTCTCATATCAGATATAGACAAAAATACAAGTCTCAGCTTCGTGTCATCCTTTGCAGATAACACAAAAATCAGCATGAAAATTACCCCTGTTGAAGACATTGATAAACTACAAGCAGATATTAACAAAGTTTTCGATTGGGCAGCAGAAAATAACATGATGTTTAACGGTGATAAATTCTAGGTACTCAGGTACGGCAAAAATGAGGATCTGAAACATAATACAGGATACAAAACACAATCGAATCTGCCCATAGTTGGAAAACAGCATGTAAAGGATTTGGGAATAATGATGTCTGACGGCCTAACGTTTAGGGAGCATAACCAAGCAAGTATTGCGTCAGCCAGAAAAATGATAGGATGGATTACGAGAACCTTCAAGTCCAGGGATCCCATCACAATGGTTGTACTCTTCAAATCACTTGTGTTGTCCCGTCTTGAGTACTGCTCAGTACTCACTTCCCCCTTCAGAGCAGGAGAGATTGCTGAAATAGAGGTAATATTGAGAACATATACGGCACGCATAGATGAGATAAAGCACCTAAATTATTGGGATCGTCTCAAAGCTCTCCAAATGTACTCACTAGAAAAAAGACGAGAGATATACCAAATAATATACATATGGAAAATACTGGAGGGTCAGGTCCCAAATCTACACAGTAAAATAACAACGTACTGGAGTGAACGATATGGAAGAAAATGCAAGATTGAACCAGTGAAGAGCAGAGGTGCCATAGGCACAATCAGAGAACACTGTATAAACATCAGAGGTCCGCGGTTGTTCAACGTCCTCCCAGCAAGCATAAGAAATATTGCCGGAACAACCGTGGACATCTTCAAGAGGAAACTAGATTGTTTTCTTCAAGGAGTGCCGGACCAACCGGGCCGTGGTGGGTATGTGGGCCTGCGGGCCGCTCCAAGCAACAGCCTGGTGGACCAAACTCTCACAAGTCAAGTCTGGCCTCGGGCCGGGCTTGAGGAGTAGAAGAACTCCCAGAATCCCATCAACCAGGTATCCCTGTGGCTGATTTGGGTACTCAGTTTCCACCTGTGTCCCCTTATTCTCGTCCTACATACGCTAAATAGTTTGTCTTTGTCTAACCTGGCAATTCCTCTGAGAATTTTGTAGGTGGTGATCATGTCTCCGATTACTCTTTTGTCTTCGAGGGATGTGAGGTTTAGCTCCTGTAGTCTTTTCTCGTAGCTCATACCTCTCAGTTCTGGGACTAGTCTGGTGGCATACCTCTGAATCTTCTCTAACTTTGTCTGGTGTTTAACTAGGTATGGACTTCAGGCTGGAGCTGCATACTCCAGGATTGGTCTGACATAAGTGGTACACAAGTTCCTGAACGATTATTTACACAGGTTTCTAAAGGCAGTTCTTATGTTGGCCAGTCTAGCATATGCCGCTGATGATATCTTTTTGATGTGGGGCCTCTGGGGACACGGACTGGGCAGTGTCCCCAGAGGCCCAGTGGGGACACCAGTGGCATCCACCCATCAAGTCCCTTCCTGTGCGGGTGTGTATCCACCCATCAAGTCCCTCCCTGTGCGGGTGTATATCCACTCATCAAGTCCCTCCCTGTGTGGGTGTGTATCCACCCATCAAGTCCCTCCCTGTGCGGGTGTGTATCCACCCATCAAGTCCCTCCCTGTGCGGGTGTGTATCCACCCATCAAGTCCCTCCCTGTGCGGGTGTGTATCCACCCATCAAGTCCCTCCCTGTGCGGGTGTGTATCCACCCATCAAGTCCCTCCCTGTGTGGGTGTATATCCACCCATCAAGTCCCTCCCTGTGTGGGTGTGTATCCACCCATCAAGTCCCTCCCTGTGTGGGTGTATATCCACCCATCAAGTCCCTCCCTGTGTGGGTGTATATCCACCCATCAAGTCCCTCCCTGTGTGGGTGTGTATCCACCCATCAAGTCCCTCCCCGGGTGTGTCAAGTCCCTCCCTGTGTGTATATCCACCCATCAAGTCCCTCCCTGTGTGGGTGTATATCCACCCATCAAGTCCCTCCCTGTGCGGGTGTGTATCCACCCATCAAGTCCCTCCCTGTGCGGGTGTGTATCCACCCATCAAGTCCCTTCCTGTGTGGGTGTGTATCCACCCATCAAGTCCCTTCCTGTGTGGGTGTGTATCCACCCATCAAGTCCCTCCCTGTGCGGGTGTGTATCCACCCATCAAGTACACAATGGAACATAAATTATACAAATCACCCAACATCAGCTGTGTACAAAGGTCGGTGTGAGTTACAGAGGTAATATTGATTTTGAGAGGCATTATACCCGCATAGCCAAGCTTTACCCGCGTCCACAGGGAGGGGGGGGTGTGTGTGATGGAGGGAGGGAGGGAGGGAGGGAGGGTTAGGGATGGAGGGAGGGTTAGGGATGGAGGGAGGGAGGGAGGGAGGGAGGGAGGGAGGGAGGGAGGGAGGGATGGAGGGAGGGTTAGGGATGGAGGGAGGGTTAGGGATGGAGGGAGGGAGGGAGGGAGGGAGGGAGGGAGGGTCGGGGGATTACAATATCCAATAAACTCGACGCTTCATTACTTCATGCTGAAGTAATTTCGATTTTGTTAACATTGCAGGTTGGTCAAGATTTTTGTGCAACGTTGTGGCCGTTACTGAGCAGTGTTGCAAGTGGTGGCTGATGGGGAGTATTGTGGCGGCCCTTCAAGGCTGCTCGTCACTTGTAATACTTTACAAGTTGAAGACAAATACGTAATCTTGCACACCTCGCCACACGCATCAACACTCCTCATAACACCCCCACAGCACGTCCACAGCACGTCCACAGCACGTCCACAGCACCCCCACAGCACGTCCACAGCACGTCCACAGCACGCCCACAGCACGTCCACAGCACCCCACAGCACCCCCACAGCACGTCCACAGCACCCCACAGCACGTCCACAGCACCCCCACAGCACGTCCACAGCACCCCACAGCACCCCCACAGCACGTCCACAGCACCCCACAGCACGTCCACAGCACCCCACAGCACGTCCACAGCACGTCCACAGCACCCCACAGCACGTCCACAGCACCCCACAGCACGTCCACAGCACGCGCACAGCACGTCCACAGCACGATCACAGCACGTCCACAGCACGTCCACAGCACCCCACAGCACCCCACAGCACGTCCACAGCACCCCACAGCACGTCCACAGCACGCGCACAGCACGTCCACAGCACGTCCACAGCACCCCACAGCACGTCCACAGCACGTCCACAGCACCCCACAGCACGTCCACAGCACCCCACAGCATGTCCACAGCACGCCCACAGCACGTCCACAGCACCCCACAGCACGTCCACAGCACCCCACAGCACGTCCACAGCACCCCACAGCACGTCCACAGCACCCCACAGCACGCCCACAGCACGATCACAGCACGTCCACAGCACGTCCACAGCACCCCACAGCACGTCCACAGCACCCCACAGCACGTCCACAGCACGTCCACAGCACCCCCCACAGCACCCCACAGCACGTCCACAGCACCCCACAGCACGTCCACAGCACGTCCACAGCACACGTCCACAGCACCCCACAGCACGTCCACAGCACCCCACAGCACGTCCACAGCACGCCCACAGCACCCCACAGCACCCCACAGCACGTCCACAGCACCCCACAGCACGTCCACAGCACGCCCACAGCACCCCACAGCACGTCCACAGCACCCCACAGCACGTCCACAGCACCCCACAGCACGTCCACAGCACCCCACAGCACGTCCACAGCACGCCCACAGCACCCCACAGCACGTCCACAGCACCCCACAGCACGCCCACAGCACGCCCACAGCACGTCCACAGCACCCCACAGCACCCCCACAGCACGTCCACAGCACGCCCACAGCACCCCCACAGCACCCCCACAGCACGCCCACAGCACGTCCACAGCACGCCCACAGCACCCCCACAGTCACCCACTGTGGGACTTCCTTTAGACCGGCCCACTCTAGGTGGAACACATTACCAAAGGTTGAGCCTGTTTAATAAGGCCATGGGAGAGGATATGTCTAAGTGGGAGGACAGGCGCGTGTGGTTAACTTACCCCAACTTTGCATGGTGACTACTGGTTGTATGGGAGTGTCATAGGTCGGGAGGGAGAGAGAGAGAGAGAGAGAGAGAGAGAGAGAGAGAGAGAGAGAGAGAGAGAGAATAGAAAGAAGAGAGAATGGAAGGGAGGTAGGGAGGGAGAGAGGATTGGAAAGAGAGAGAGCGAATGAACAGAGACCCGGGTATCACCGGGTTAACCCCCCCCCCCCCCATTAATCAATATCTAAGCGAGGGTGGAAAATAATAATAGAGGGAGAGGTGGGACGGGTGGAAGGGAAGACCACTCGGGGTATCCCAAGTGTAACTGCATATATACACTTAACCACTGTTTAATAACCATCTGTCTTCATGGGTGGATAATCAGTGGGGTGTAAGGCGTATAATCAGTGGGTATAAAGTGTATAATCAGTGGATACAATACCCTGCAGACCGTTGACTGAAACACTGCCACATACAGCTATGATTGTGGTATTCACGGTAAACTCACCACAATCTATAGTGCCTCACCCGCCCCGGTGGCAGGTAAACCTCTGTCTGTCAGCACAGCGCCTCTACACGACGACTTCCTCCTCTACAACGACAAAAGAATAGGCTCTAGAACATATTCTCTTTCCTCTGCAGGTGTATATTCACTAGCCCTGGCTAGGGACCGCTTGTGGGAAGTGACCCAACTTAACTATGCAGGAAGTAATTATGAAAGAAGTAATTATGAAAGAAGTAATTATGAAAGAAATAATATAATTATAATAAAAATAATAATAAATCAATTATTTACTTGGCTTTAACAATGTTTGTGTTCCAGGTATGGTGGGAGCTGGACTGGGTGCCTATTATAGGTAATTATATATCACCTCTCTCTAAGATAAGTCGACCCTTATAGCTTGTTATAGTCGACCCTTTTAGCTTATTATAGTCGACCCTTATAGCTTATTATAGTCGACCCTTATAGCTTATTAAAGTTGACCCTTATAGCTTATTAAAGTTGACCCTTATAGCTTATTAAAGTTGACCCTTATAGCTTATTATAGTCGACCCTTATAGCTTATTATAGTCGACACTTATAGCTTATTATAGTCGACCCTTATAGCTTATTATAGTCGACACTTATAGCTTATTATAGTCGACACTTATAGCTTATTATAGTCGACACTTATAGCTTATTATAGTCGACCCTTATAGCTTATTAAAGTTGACCCTTATAGCTTATTATAGTCGACCCTTATAGCTTATTAAAGTTGACCCTTATAGCTTATTATAGTCGACCCTTATAGCTTGTTATAGTCGACCCTTTAGCTTATTATAGTCGACCCTTATAGCTTATTATAGTCGACCCTTATAGCTTATTAAAGTTGACCCTTATAGCTTATTATAGTCGACCCTTATAGCTTATTAAAGTTGACCCTTATAGCTTATTATAGTCGACCCTTATAGCTTGTTATAGTCGACCCTTTTAGCTTATTATAGTCGACCCTTATAGCTTATTATAGTCGACCCTTATAGCTTATTAAAGTTGACCCTTATAGCTTATTATAGTCGACCCTTATAGCTTATTAAAGTTGACCCTTATAGCTTATTATAGTCGACCCTTATAGCTTGTTATAGTCGACCCTTTTAGCTTATTATAGTCGACCCTTATAGCTTATTATAGTCGACCCTTATAGCTTATTAAAGTTGACCCTTATAGCTTATTATAGTCGACCCTTATAACTTATTATAGTCGACCCTTATAGCTTATTATAGTCGACCCTTATAGCTTATTATAGTCGACCCTTATAGCTTATTATAGTCGACCCTTATAGCTTATTATAGTCGACCCTTATAGCTTATTATAGTCGACCCTTATAGCTTATTATAGTCAACCCTTATAGCTTATTATAGTCGACCCTTATAGCTTATTATAGTCGACCCTTATAACTTATTATAGTCGACCCTTATAGCTTATTATAGTCGACCCTTATAGCTTATTATAGTCGACCCTTATAGCTTATTATAGTCGACCCTTATAGCTTATTATAGTCAACCCTTATAGCTTATTATAGTCGACCCTTATAGCTTATTATAGTCGACCCTTATAGCTTATTATAGTCAACCCTTATAGCTTATTATAGTCGACCCTTATAGCTTATTAAAGTTGACCCTTATAGCTTATTATAGTCGACCCTTATAACTTATTATAGTCGACCCTTATAGCTTATTATAGTCGACCCTTATAACTTATTATAGTCGACCCTTATAGCTTATTATAGTCGACCCTTATAGCTTATTATAGTCGACCCTTATAGCTTATTATAGTCGACCCTTATAGCTTATTATAGTCGACCCTTATAGCTTATTAAAGTTGACCCTTATAGCTTATTATAGTCGACCCTTATAACTTATTATAGTCGACCCTTATAGCTTATTATAGTCGACCCTTATAACTTATTATAGTCGACCCTTATAGCTTATTATAGTCGACCCTTATAGCTTATTATAGTCGACCCTTATAGCTTATTATAGTCGACCCTTATAGCTTATTATAGTCGACCCTTATAGCTTATTATAGTCGACCCTTATAGCTTATTAAAGTTGACCCTTATAGCTTATTATAGTCGACCCTTATAACTTATTATAGTCGACCTTTATAGCTTATTATAGTCGACCCTTATAGCTTATTATAGTCGACCCTTATAGCTTATTACAGTCGACCCTTATAGCTTATTATAGTCGACCCTTATAGCTTATTACAGTCGACCCTTATAGCTTATTATAGTCGACCCTTATAGCTTATTATAGTCGACCCTTATAGCTTATTATAGTCGACCCTTATAGCTTATTATAGTCGACCCTTATAGCTTATTATAGTCGACCCTTATAGCTTATTATAGTCGACCCTTATAGCTTATTATAGTCGACCCTTATAGCTTATTACAGTCGACCCTTATAGCTTATTACAGTCGACCCTTATAGCTTATTATAGTCGACCTTCATATCATATCATGGTGGACGTTACCCGACACTGCACAACGAGGGCTGCAACTCTCTTCATGTTCCACATAAATGTTGAATTAACTCTTCATGTTGAACATGTTTGTTGCAAATATCTGCATGTTAGACAATATTATTGCAGCGCTCTGCATATAACAGGAGTGTTACAATCATCTGTATGTTGTACATGATTGTTGCAACTGATTGTATGTATGATTAGATTGTTGCAAAGCGATTGGACACGATTGTTGGGAGGCTAGGCATGTTGCACTGGACTGATCTAATGATCTGCATTTTGGATTGATTTGTTGCTAACTTGTAAAGGTATTTTACTGTCTGCTGGGTGCTGGGTGCGTGACGTCCCTAGCAGGTGTGTCATGTGTGTCCCTAGCAGGTGTGTGTCATGTGTGTCCTAGGTGTGTCATATGTGTTCCTAGCAGGTGTGTCGTGTGTGTCCCTAGCAGGTGTGTCATGTGTGTCCCTAGCAGGTGTGTGTCATGTGTGTCCTAGGTGTGTCATATGTGTTCCTAGCAGGTGTGTCGTGTGTGTCCCTAGCAGGTGTGTCATGTGTGTCCCTAGCAGGTGTGTCATGTGTGTCCTAGGTGTGTCATATGTGTTCCTAGCAGGTGTGTCGTGTGTGTCCCTAGCAGGTGTGTCATGTGTGTCCCTAGCAGGTGTGTCATGTGTGTCCCTAGCAGGTGTGTCATGTGTGTCCTAAGTGTGTCATATGTGTTCCTAGCAGGTGTGTCGTGTGTGTCCCTAGCAGGTGTGTCATGTGTGTCCCTAGCAGGTGTGTCATGTGTGTCCTAAGTGTGTCATATGTGTTCCTAGCAGGTGTGTCGTGTGTGTCCCTAGCAGGTGTGTCATGTGTGTCCCTAGCAGGTGTGTCATGTGTGTCCCTAGCAGGTGTCTCATGTGTGTCCATAGCAGGTGTGTCATGTGTGTCCCTAGCAGGTGTGTCATGTGTGTCCATAGCAGGTGTGTCATGTGTGTCCCTAGCAGGTGTGTCATGTGTGTCACAAGCAGGTGTGTCATGTGTGTCCCTAGCAGGTGTGTCATGTGTGTCACGAGCAGGTGTGTCATGTGTGTCCCTAGCAGGTGTGCCATGTGTGTCACAAGCAGGCGTGTCATATGTGTCCCTAGCAGGTGTGTCATGTGTGTCACAAGCAGGTGTGTCATGTGTGTCCCTAGCAGGTGTGTCATGTGTGTCACAAGCAGGTGTGTCATGTGTGTCCCTAGCAGGTGTGTCATGTGTGTCACAAGCAGGTGTGTCATGTGTGTCCCTAGCAGGTGTGTCATGTGTGTCCTAGGTGTGTCATGTGTGTTCCTAGCAGGTGTTTCGTGTGTGTCCCTAGCAGGTGTGTCATGTGTGTCCCTAGCAGGTGTGTCATGTGTGTCCCTAGCAGGTGTGTCGTGTGTGTCCCTAGCAGGTGTGTCGTGTGTGTCCCTAGCAGGTGTGTCATGTGTGTCACAAGCAGGTGTGTCATGTGTGTCCCTAGCAGGTGTGTCATGTGTGTCACAAGCAGGTGTGTCACGTATGTCCCTAGCAGGTGTGTCATGTATGTCCCTAGCAGGTGTGTCATGTGTGTCCTAGGTATGTCATATGTGTTCCTAGCAGGTGTGTGATGTGTGTCCTAGGTGTGTCATATGTGTTCCTAGCAGGTGTTTCGTGTGTGTCCCTAGCAGGTGTGTCATGTGTGTCCCTAGCAGGTGTGTCATATGTGTCCCTAGCAGGTGTGTCATGTGTGTCCCTAGCAGGTGTGTCGTGTGTGTCCCTAGCAGGTGTGTCGTGTGTGTCCCTAGCAGGTGTGTCATATGTGTCCCTAACAGGTGTGTCATGTGTGTGCCTCTAGACCCTGTGACATATGTGTCCTAGCACGTGTACCATATATGTGTCTAGCAGAAGTATTGCCAAATACTACACCACAACCACACTACCAGACACGCTACGCTACTGGTAGCGTAGATACTACGCTAACAACCACAGTCACTCACCGAGCTAACTACCCCCCACGCTAACAACCACAGTCACTCACCGACCTAACTTCCCCCCACGCTAACAACCACAGTCACTCACCGACCTAACTACCCCCCACGCTAACAACCACAGTCACTCACCGAGCTAACTACCCCCCACGCTAACAACCATAGTCACTCACCGACCTAACTACCCCCCACGCTAACAACCACAGTCACTCACCGACCTAACTACCCCCACGCTAACAACCACAGTCACTCACCGACCTAACTACCCCCCACGCTAACAACCACAGTCACTCACCGAGCTAACTACCCCCCACGCTAACAACCACAGTCACTCACCGACCTAACTACCCCCACGCTAACAACCACAGTCACTCACCGACCTAACTACCCCCCACGCTAACAACCACAGTCACTCACCGACCTAACTACCCCTACGCTAACAACCACAGTCACTCACCGACCTAACTACCCCCCACGCTAACAACCACAGTCACTCACCGACCTAACTACCCCCCACGCTAAGAACCAGTCACTAACCGACCTAACTACCCCCCACGCTAACAACCACAGTCACTCACCGACCTAACTACCCCCCACGCTAAGAACCAGTCACTAACCGACCTAACTACCCCCACGCTAACAACCACAGACACTCACCGAGCTAACTACCCCCAGGCTAACAACCACAGTCATTCACCGAGCTAACTACCCCCCACGCTAACAACCACAGACACTCACCGAGCTAACTACCCCCCACGCTAACA